AATTATATTATATATTTTACGAAAATAGTATTTAAATATAAAAAATATATAAATGAAAATAATGTACTTAATGTAACATGCATATTTAATTAAAATTAAATACTTTTGCTTAAATGAAATAAACAATTCCTTGCATTTAAAGCAAAAGTTTCAAGAAAACAAATTTATTTGATTTAAAAAATTTTTCCCTCAGTATATGTATATTAAATAAATAAAATTTGTTTTTCTCAACTACAATGTTCACTTTAATACATGATACCACAATTACCTCGTTAACATTATTGTAAGCAAATATAACAGCAATAATATCTCGTACATCATATTGTTCAAATATTAATGCGAGTCACTGTATATATATATATATATATATATATATATATATATATATATAATGAAATTTTATCTCGAAATCACTAGCAATGTTTAACCAATTATCTTCATTTCAACAACAGGAAAGTATTTTTTTTCATAGACAATTCCAAATAATTACAAGTTTCTTCGATAATATTACTTATAGTTATTAATCCAACAAAATATTGATATGAAATAGATGTCACCGAATCATTAGAAACTAGAAATCTAATTAGTATAAATTTGAGTTTGATATTTATGGAAAAAATTCAATTCTATAAATTAACCTTAATGTTAGACATAATTGTTTTGCTGCGAATATAGGCTCTCGAATCACTGTTTCATAATAAAATGGTGCTATAAATGATACTATAATGATACTTTAAATTTAATAATTCTTCAAATTGTGTAGGTATCATACGAAAATAATTTCTAAATCGTACTTCTTCCAAAATGACAGGAAAGATTGCGTGATAAAATCCATAATTGCACCGTTCTCTAAATATTGAATTTACCCAATAACGTTTCCTACGATAATTTCTTTTTTTCTGTTTTTGTAATTCATTAATTAGAAGTATTGCTAAAAGTTTTTTTATGTTGCTGATTACGTTCTGCTAATTTTTTTCACTTTTCTCTTAACCACGTGTAATATTTTTTAAAAATAATATAATTCATACATACGATATGAAATAGTACAATATTGATGTTAGAAACGATAATCTAAGGTATCTGAGCTATATCTCTGGCTTGAAACACCATATCTTTTAATATAAAAAATTTCTTACTAAGCACTCAAGTCGACCGACGCCGTCACTAATTCGCATTGAACTGATGGCTCACTGATTTCTGAAAAGTCCAGGCAGGGTCAGAGAAGATTTCAAGCTTTGTTGTATAGAAATATATACAATAGAAAAGACTGGAAGGGATCAAAAACCGTTGCCTAATGTGTGCGAGATCAGGTATATGAATATTACGGTCGAAGCGATTGACCAAAGTTGAATTTAAAAATAATGTACCAAATATTTTAAATTATTAAATTATAACTATATTTAAAGTTTTTATTTATTTATATGCGTATGTGCATGCGTGCGTGTGTGTGTGTGTGTGGGGGGAGAGAGAGAGAGAGAGAGAGAGAGAGAGAGAGAGAGAGAGAGAGATCACAAAACTCATTTATATTAAAAATTTATTTGACGTACATAAAACATCTTATTATAAAGCACTGATGTTAGCAACATTTTATGCACATAGCACGGAATAGAAGCAGAAAATATTGGGAGTGTTGCGATCGTTTATCTGTTTCTTGTCATTTAAATTTTCTATTCTTTGAATTTTATTTTGTAAGAAAAATATATTCAAGAAATCTACATATTATATGGACGAAAATAACTGGTATTTTTACAATGTAATATGATTAACGATAATAAGTCTTCCAGTTGCTGTAAATATACATAATATTTACAGCATATTTATAAATTTTTATAAATTTTTATTACTTATAGTATTTATAAATTTTTAAAACATATTTTACAAATTTTCAAACATATTTATTTTTTTATTAAACTTGTATATATTGATTGAATATCTAAAAATTTTTGTATCAGTATTTGTATCAGTTTGAATTATGTCTCTTGAAACAAATATCAATATAAAAATATTTTTAGATATTCAATCAACATATACAACTTTAATAGAAAAATGAATACGTTTGAAAATTTATAAAGTATGTTCTAAAAATTTTAAAATTTAAAAATTATATATATTTACAGTAATTGGAAAATTTATTACCGTTAACAGTCATATCACGTTGTAAAGCATCAGTTCTCGTCTATGTACTATTGGCGCTATCTTTTTTTTGTTAATATAAATATGATCAATATTGATATAATTTTTTATTCTAATCCTTTTACTAAATTATTTTTTTATAATATGATTACTATTGAATCAATAGATTTAGAGTCAATATGTTTCGCCAAAAATGATAATAAATAACTGCAGTTATAGCAGAAAGAAGCGCTTATAATAAGTGATTAATAAGTGCAATGCGACAGTTGGGAATATATGACAAAATTTAACTTTATATTTTGAATTGTCGGCGGTCATATATTTTATACATATTATACATATTACATTATACATATTATATATTATACATATTATACGAATACCATTATTCCACAGAAAATCATAAACTGTTCTGATGAACGTTGTCGTTCTTTTTTTGAAAATAAAATCAAGATCATTTCGTTTGTGTTCTCTCTTATATTATATTTTATATTGTATCTCTCTAAGCGAAAGAACATATTAAATTTAGGCTAAGTTCCGTAAAGCGCATATACGCGCACGTACTTATAGTATCCGTCACGTATACTGTAGCTAAATGCGCGCATATGCGCTTTATGGAATTTGACCAGTGTTACGCTGGGTTGTGTTCCTTTAAGGCATAAAAAGTGAGAAAGTAATAAAACTCTAACAACACATATGTTCAAAAGATGTCCAGGTCTTCGAGGCCGGCACTGCAAATTCTATAGTGCACGTTACGTATATTATATATTTTTTCAGTGCTGGCAGTAATAAAACTCTAACAACACGTGTTCAAAAGATGTCCAGATCTTCGAAGCCGGTACTGCAAATTCTATAGTGCACGTTACGTATATTATATATTTTTAGTGCTGGCAATAAACTGGCAGCAATTTCGGAACACGGGGCGAGAGAACATCCGTTCTCTTGATATTTTATGGATGGTCTTTTGGATGTGTGTTGTTAAGGAAGTTACTAATTGTAAGTTTAAGATATCCATTTTATCTACATTTGTTTAGAATGTTTATTTTAAGGGGAAAGATGGGACGAGGAAAAGAGAGAAAAAATAACTGTCAATCTATCTCAATGGTGGGATTTATTTGCAACTTTCGACCAGATTTCTTAGCTCATGCCTACTGCTCCCCTCTTACCGCTCATGCATTAACAACCGCACCGCCAGACGCTCGTAACTAAAGGCTATAGCACACACTTTCCATAAGACATGACAGTAAGGTTTCGACCAATCGCGTTGCTCAATTTGGCCGTCCGTAACCAAATTGAGCAACGTGATTGGTCGAAACCTTATTGTTATGTCTTATGGAAAGTGTGTGCTATAGCCTTAAGAGCGCGGCACTCAGGTACGTGCGCATGAAGGCTATAGGCAGCACACACTTTTGCATAAGCACATAACCATAAGCATAAGGAAATTGATTGGTCCCCAAGTATATGCATAAGAAAATGAACCAATCAATTTTCTTATGCTTATGATTATGCGCTTATGCAAAAGTGTGTGCTGCGGCCTTATAGCACACACTTTCCATAAGACATAACAGTAAGGTTTCGACCAATCACGTTGCTCAATTTGGTTACGGACGGCCAAATTGAGCAACGCGATTGGTCGAAATCTTACTGTTATGTCTTACGGAAAGTGTGTGCTATAGCCTTAAAAATATAATGTGGCAATATCGTAGCAAAAATTTTCTTTATTATTTATTAATAATAAAAATATTAATTTTAAAAAGGGAGCAATTGAGGAACATTCGTTTGTGCTCTTATTTATTAAAAAATATGAACTTCCAGCACTAACTTATTTTTGGTAATAATTAAAACATGTCGGAACGTTATGACATTACTAACTATCGATATATTTATTGCCTGCATGTGTAATTGTCAATTATAAAGGGCTGCGTAACGTGATCGACAATTCATTGTTAAAATTTTGCTCACAAAACCGGGAATCGATTGTAGAAAAGAGATGAAAAGAAATTGACGGGAATTTCTTGCGATTCCGCGGAATAATTGGCGGCAAGCATATACAGGGTGAGGAAAAAGTATGAAAACCCCTAAATTTTTCGAAAACTATGCATTTTAGAAATAAATGTTTCAGACAAAAGTTGTAAGGTTTCAAGTAATGCATTACGTAGCAATATCAGTATAACCTTGAATAGCACCGTCAAGGTCACATAAAAATCACTTTGAATTTTTTAAATGAAACGCCCTACTTTTTATTATATATTCTTGTAGCTTGTTTTAAGAGCTTGTTTTAAGAGCTTTCCACACTATAATAAAGTATTTTTTCAGTGAGTATTTTTCAAGTTATAAGGCTCGAAATAATTTCTTTAATTTTTTACATAAACCATAAACAATAAAATATTTTTTCTTCAAAACTATTTTTTCTTTACACCAATTGATTCTTCACATTATCTTATGCATAAAAGTATAAAGGTGAGATAATAAAGAAATGAATATTTTATTAAATATTTTATGGTTTATGTAAAATTGAGAAATGATTTCAAGCCTCATAACTCGAAAAGTACTCAATGAAAAAACACTTTAATATAGTGTTTTGGAAAGCTCTTGAAACAAGCTATAAGAATGTGTAATAAAAAATAGGGGGTTCCATTTAAAAAATTCGAACTGATTTTTATGTGACCTTGACGGTGCTGTTCAAGATCATACTGATATTGCTACATAACGCGTTATTTGAAACCCTACAACTTTTGTCTGAAACATTTGTTTCTAAAATGCATAATTTTAAAAAAATTTATAGGTTTCCATACTTTTTTCTCACCCTGTATATGTATTATATACGCATACGTGTATTATATACGCATATGTGTATTATACGAAAATATCAAATATGCGATCATGTATGAAATTAGCGAGTCAGACAGGACGTGAACACGCGCGCGAGAAGGAATGTCGGACATTTGAACGAACTGTCATTGTGATTTTAGACATCGCGTAATCTCGCAATTACGTCCGCGATCGTGAGGGACGGGAGGGGACACGCGTCTCAAGAGCTAGAGATATGTAAGGTTATTCGATTTTCTCGAACTAATCGCGTTCCTGAACAGACGGAATCCAGAGGGGGAAAAAAATGTCGTTGCCGCGTCGAAATGTTATTCGAAATCGGCGCGAGCTCTGAACCATCGGCAGCACGTCCTTTGACGATGCCGAGCGAAAGAAACGAAAAGTGAAGATGTCACCGTTTCGCAGGAAAAAGTCGGGAAGGTCCTTCCCCGTGAAGGTCTGCACCCTGGACGCGGAGCTCGAATTCAATCTGGAGGTAGCGATGTTTGTCACTTCGCAAATTTGTTCTCGCAAATCTGTTGACGCAATTTTTCTGTGCTGCAGTGGAGATCGACTGGCAGGGACCTGTTCGACCTGGTGTGCCGTACGATAGGATTGAGGGAAACGTGGTACTTCGGGCTCCAGTACGAAGACTCGAAGGGTTTTATCTCTTGGCTAAAATTAGATAAGAAAGGTGTTTGTAAACGATTGTTATTTTTGTTCGACACGCTCGGTTTTAGATGACGTCTTGAGGGTGTTTGTTATAATGACACTGAGCTGGTTACAGTACAGGATCAGGGCATTTCCCAGCAACCAACAACACCGTTCATGTTCCTGGCGAAATTTTATCCTGAGGACGTGGCCGAAGAACTCGTGCAAGAGGTCACTCAACATTTGTTCTTCTTACAAGTGAAGCAGGCTATACTATCTATGGACATTTATTGCCCACCCGAAGCTTCCGTGTTGCTTGCTTCCTATGCTGTCCAAGCAAAGGTATCTTATTATTATCTAAACGATCAACCGTCTAACAATTTGTAAGTAAAACTGTTCATCTGTAATTTATAAATTTCCAGTTTAGGACAGAAACGTTTGCGTTAATTTCTAAATATAATTTAACAGTGCACTTTTTTATATGCGTATCTCTACATATTAAATAAATTTAATTTTTTAAACAGTTAATCTTTAACAACAATGATGATTGTAATATTTGCTCCTTAAGCTCGCTTCTTTATTGTTTATTTATAAATATATTTTATAAATATATTTTATTTGAAATATAATAGGATATAAATGTATACTTTAAATCATAAACTTGTGTTCTAGAATTTTATATACAGGAGATATTCAAGATAAGATAAAGAACATGAATTATAATCTAATATTTGTATGTATGATATTTTTTTCAGTATACTTAAAATATACTGCAAAAATCTAAATCTATTTTGAGAGTATACTTGTTAGGTTGTATGCATTTTGGATCAAAATCAATTTCTTCGAGATTATCAGTTGCTTAGAGATGGATCAAATCCAAAACTTGTAGCGTACCTATATTAAGTAGGATTCTATTTATAAAACAGACATTACAGTTAAAGACCCACTTTATTGCTGGATTTTGTAAATATTGTGCATTAATTATGTTATTAGTAAAATTTGAATATATTAGAAAAATTAATTTTATAAAATGAATAATTAAAACAAATTGTCATAAGTTATGTGTGTGATAAAAAGATTTTGATGGCTAATTTTTATTTTAATTTTCAGTATGGAGATTACGATGAAGTTTTATATCGTCCTGGAATGCTTGCCAGCGAAGATTTGCTTCCGCAGAGAGTCATAGATCAATATCAAATGACACCAGAAATGTGGGAAGATAGGATAAAGATTTGGTATGCCGATCATCGTGGCATGTCTCGAGACGAAGCAGAAATGGAATATCTTAAGATTACTCAAGATCTCGATATGTATGGTGTAAACTATTTTCCTATTAGTGTAAGTGCCAAGACATCAGTTAATAAATTTTGCATAGATTATTTTTACCTCAGGTTCCAAATTTACATTACTTACATTATTATTAGAAAAGTTTGATCCATTTTCAACATAAGCCTTTTGCCTTGTAGAATAAGAAGGAAACGGATCTTTGGCTTGGAGTAACAGCACTGGGACTCAATATCTATGAAAAGGAAAATAAACTAGCTCCGAAGACTACGTTCCAATGGTCGGAAATCCGTCACATTAGCTTCGACGACAAGAAGTTTGTAATCAAAACCGTGGAGAAAACATCACCAAACTTCGTGTTCTTCTCGCAGAAAGTTCGCATGAATAAATTGGTAAAGAAACAGTCAGATGTTGCCAGCTGGGTGAAGAATTTGATAGCTTTAGGGTTGGATGAACATAATAGTGACAAAGCTGCTCACATATTATTTGTTAAGATCCTGGACCTGTGTATTGGCAACCACGATTTGTACATGAGGAGGCGCAAACCGGACTCCATGGAGGTTCAACAGATGAAGGCACAGGCCAAGGAAGAAAAATCCAGGCAAGTAAATATATGTTTTTTTATAAAAATAGTTTGTTTTGTTGTGAGAAATATTTTTCGTGTCTATTTCTGAAATGTTTGTTAATTTATAATCTCTATTATTCAAGTTTTTTAATTAATGTGAAATTTAACAAATGTCATCTGATTACATGCTTTATAAAATAATGATAAAACTCCTGTATTTTCCATAGGTGGATATTTTAATTGCTTAATAGAAAAATTAAATTATTTTTATCTTTAAAATTAGAATTATAAATAATAATAATCATAAATAATGGATATAAGAAAAGTAGAAAAATAAATCTAATTTATTTATTTATTTTTTGTTATCTAATTTATTTATTCATTTATAGTGATATGTGGTAGCAATTTCTTTGATAATTACCAAAACTTTGCTTTGAGTAAATGCTATGTGCAAATTTTAATATGCTGTGCAAATTAAAATAGTTTAATAAGTGTCTGAACGTATTATATAAATATAGATTGAATAATTATTATTCTCGTTTCTAGCTCGGGAAAAGAATTTATTAAAATGCAGCTTTTGTAATCTTGCTCATGCTCAGCTATTACTATATTTCTAACAAAATATGCACTTCTTTTTTTTTTGGTCACTTTTATAGGAAGCAATATTTAGGCATGTGTGTTTTCAACATGTATTTTTATATATGTATATATTAAGGTTAGTAAATAATTATTTATACAATACTCACACATACACATATACATATTTTAATATAACATAATCTAAAAATTTCACACAATAGAACTCTTTTGCTTTCTTTGCCGAATCTTTAGATATAAATAATATGTATTTTACACATGTACGTAAAGAGAGAGAGAGAGAGAGTATATAAATACATATATACATTTACTTAAAATTTCTTTATAAATGATTATGATATTATATAGGAGACAAATTGAGAGAAATAAATTAGCACGAGAAAAACAATTGAGAGAAGCAGCAGAGAGGGAAAAGGCTGCAATGGAGCATCGACTTTTACAGTACCAGGAGGAAATACGACTTGCAAATGAAGCTCTTGTAAGATATGATTTTAGATATATACATATACAGGGTGTCTCAAAAGTCCCGGACCGGTCGAATATTTCATAAACTATGCACTTTAGAAAGAAATGTTTCAAACAAAAGTTGTATAGCTTGAAGGGGGTCATCAAATAGTGGCAATGATTTGACATGGAAGAGTCATTTGAAAGTCACATGAAGATCACCGTCAATTTCTTAAATGGAATTCCTTATTTTTTATTACATATTCGTGTAGCTTATCTCGAGAGCTTTCCAAAACACTATAATAAAGTATTTCTTCATTGAGTACTTTTTGAGTTATGAGGCTTGAAATCATTTCTTAATTTTACATGAACCATAAAATATCTAGTAAATATTCATTTTTCGATTATCTTACTTTAATAATTTTATGTACAAAATAATGAGAGGAATCAATTAGTGTAAAGAAAACACATAGTTGTTTTAAAAAAAATATGTAATTGTTAATTGCAAATTACATATTTTTTTCTTAAAAACAACTATGTTTTTTCTTTACACCAATTGATTCCTCTCATTATTTATGAAATATTCGACCGGTCCGGGACTTTTGGGACACCCTGTATAAGACATAATAAAGACTAACAATTATAAACATTAAATAAAAATATAAACTATATCTTATAAATAAAGTTGATATTGTGTTTTTTTTGTAGAGAAGATCGGAAGAGACAGCAGATCTTTTAGCTGAGAAAAGTCGCGTAGCTGAAGAAGAAGCGATGCTTTTAAGTCAAAAAGCATTGGAAGCCGAACAAGAGATTACGCGCATACGGCTAAATAATATGAAGACTGAAGAAGAGAAGGTTCACTTAGAACGAAAGACTAGAGAAGCTGAATTATTAACGGAAAGATTAGTCCAGGAATCGGAACGCAGAGCTGCTGAGGCAGAAAGGTTAAAGGATGAGCTGTTACGCGCAAGAGTCGCCGAGAAAGAAGCTAAAGAAAAGCTGTTAGAGTTTCTCAGTAGAAATGCCTATATACCCACTACCATAACTGTAAGTATAGCTTCAATATTTATTTAAAAACAAAATGATATATAGAAAGAATATATTTGATCATTTATACACTTAGTTATATATGTTACATAAGTTTGATTTATGAATCATTTAACTTGTCGATAGCCTGTGCCAAATCTATTTCCCTCGACGCAAGTACTTCCATCAGATCTACAGGCGGATCTTCAAACTCTGCAATTGGATGCAGAACCTCTGCCACCTGATTTAACATCTTATGATCTTATTGGTGATGGAGATGTCGATCAACTTTCGTTAGAAATTGAAAAAGAAAGGACTGAATATTGGGAGAAAAGTAAAAACTTACAGGAACAGCTGCGAGACTTACGTACTGAAATTGAAGTTTTAAAGGTCGGTGAGAAGCAGTGTGAATTAGATCAATTGCACGAGGAGCAAGTTCGACTTGGTGAAAATAAGTACAGTACGCTAAAAAAGGTGAAATCCGGATCCACTAAAGCTAGAGTCGCTTTTTTTGAAGAATTATAGTTTTTAAAAAACAGATGTTGATAGACATCCATTGAATGTATGATGCTAGTAATTGAATTTTTTTTAAATGATCATATATAATATTCAAAAATATGCTATATCACAAAGTGTTTCATCATCATTGCATTGAATTATACTACCACATTTTTCAATGAATTTAAAATGTTTAACAAATATTTAGCGAAAATTTTTTATTAATACAAAAATTGTAAATATTGAACTTACATTATAAATAATTCACACAATACAAAACATTCCAATAAACATATGAATGAAAAAAAATATTGAACGCGAATAGAAATCCAAACCAGCTATTGTTTTTTCCCACCAAACCATTTGTGCATTAATTCTTGATTGTTCTAGTCATTTATATGTATCCATAATGACGTTGTATTTTGGTTTTGTTCATTTTAAGTGTTACAACAGTAAATTTTATTTAAAACTATTTCAGTTTAGTATAAAAATGGAACACTCTGTATATATAACATATGTACATTTTATATTATTATGATGACAAAATATTAGATAAAGCATCCCACACTTAATAGAAAATTGCTTTGCGTCGAATTGACTAAATTTTTTATATGTTCTAAGACATTCTGATCAAAACTCTCAATGAGCATAACTCTTGAAAATGAAAAATTTTGGCGTTATTGACCTTAGAACATATGCAAATTTACATATATTACATATATACATGTAAACATTTCATATACTTTGTAAGTGTAAGAAAACCTTTCCTGTATCATTATATGTATTGCATATGTATGAAAATAATGTCAATAATGTTGAAAAAGCCCATTGAGACTTTCTTGATAAGAATGTCTTAAACTAAAATATATCAAAAATTCAGCCAATTTGACGGAAAGCCATTTCCATTAAATTAGTGCAGGATTCTTTACATGTATATAAATATTCAGTTGATTTGCATATATGAATGTACTGCATGTTAACAAACGAATCAAAATAAATTTGCTATTTTCATATTTCATATTAAAAACAAATTCATATATACACATATATATTTTATTATGTATTATAGATTCCAATAGATGTGAATGTTTTGATATCTCTATGCTTACATATATTAGGCCTAGTTATTAACATTGATTACCAGATAATCATAAGTGTCTGACACACAAATTTCCATTTATGGTTTATCAGTCATGTATGACTGACAAGTTAGTTCATTTTTGGTGTCTCATTTCCTATATTATTAATAATCTCTCTATTTATATGAGCTTTTGCATTCAAATTGCTCTAGTTATATGACAAAATTAGATAAATATATATAGTTAAGTATCTTTTTGCAAGACTAAACATGTTAAATTTATAACTTACATTTGACAAGACACACAACTATATAAAATATCAAATATAGAGTAATAGAAATGACTATTTATTTTTTATGAAAGTATAGCTTTTATTTTCAAATTATTATAAGTTTATCTATAAGGATTAAGTCAATTAGAAAAGCTCGACAAAAACTGTCATAATTATATGTTTACATATTTAACTTGTAAAAGCAATATAACCATAATTAGATACATTTATTTTATCTTTAAATGAGTATAATTACGAGTAATAATATACAGACTGTACATGAAATGAACAATTTTTTTTTTATAATATTCTAATTATAAATAAAAAATTAAAAATATATGTGTATATATATATATATATATATATATATATATATATATATACACACACACTTGTATGTGCATATATAAGAAATTCTTTTATAGAATATTTTCTTTGTCTTATTACATCCAAGTCAAACCCATATATATGAATCACATTTTATTTGTGATTCATATATATTATTATATATATTAGTGTTATGTTAACTTAAACATTGATATACTCTACTTCCAAAACATTTGCAAAAAATGTCATGTATAATTAAAATTTAAACAAATGTACACTTTAACTGCCCGAGTTAATCAAGTTGTGCCTTGAATCTATCGAGTCATGTATGCAAATCAATAGTTTGAGTATTGTACTATTATTGCATATACACATATTGGATGCAATCAAAAACAATGTGGACCAGTGAAAGAGAATCCAGCTGGATTGTGCATGACATAAGAGAATAAATCGCGCGATATATATATATATATAAAATGTGACATACATTGTTACATCAATTATTGATACCAGTGTATCTATCAGATGGTGGATATTCCTACTATATTTTCGGATATAATATTTATATTAATATTTAAATAAATTTTAAATTGAAACTTATAAAGATATGAGGAGATATTGTCATTTCACTGCACATAAAAACAAAATTATTCAAAGCTACTAGAAGCTATTATGTATTTTTAAGAAAAAAATGTGCCTTACTATGTATTATCTTAGATATTTCAATTTTTTAGATAATGTGATTTGTATAGTCATTCTAAGCATTCTTAATCTTATATTAAATGCTCGATTTTAAAAAGACGCACATTTAAATTATGTATAAATTTTTTGGAATGTTATTCATTATTCTTTGATCCATCATGTTTTATTGTGTCGTTATTTTATTGTAACTGTGCAATAATGATCTAATTTTTTGAAAATGTAAACTATATTACTTTATCGATAATTAAGCTTGTAAAAATTATAGGTACATATATATATATATATATATATATATATATATATATATATATATTTATATGTATATATAATCGAGAGAAATACCTTGCCATTTAATATGTTGCAGTGTCATAGAAAAATAAAATCTATTTTGAGAAAAAAATTAACTCTTCCTTCTATTAATATATGATATAAATATATGATAATTTAATATCACACAAATAATTTTCTAAAATGTTATATTAATTATACATTAGTTATATAATTATAGCCAATTCGTATTTATTTTTCATCTTTATATAATATATTATAATTTTATATATTACAAATAATATAAATTATATATTTTATATATACATACATACATACATACATACATACATACATACATACATACATATATATATATATATATATATATATTATATATATATATATATATATATTATATCTATATATATATATATAATTTATATTTATATATTTTATTCTATATACAGACGTATTAAATCATCTTCTTTGGCAGGATAATGCGTCACCGGACATCTCTTGTTTTTCCGTATTTCCGATAAAATACATTGATAGCAAAAAACATAACTAAAAAATTAAATCAACCTAATTTTTTTTGTTTAAATAAGATAATAAAGATGCATTAGATATTATCCACTTACCCAGATACCATAAGCACTGTATGTATACGATGAGGTTTACGACAAAGCGGGCAAATTCCTTTGTATTGCTGTGCAACATTTGGCACCTATTAGAACAATATATTATTTACGGTAACTTTACAGAAATTATTTATTTGATTTTATATAATGTGATTAATTAACTGATTTATTTATTCCATTTATTTTTACTTTTGGAGGTGGCGGAGCTGGAAGACTCATAATATCCATATTATAATTTTCCTGGGTCCACCATGAGAGGAATTGTAGGAAAAAAGCTCCCAATTCGAGGGATCCAGTGACAATTCTTTGAACTATGTTCCATCCATCACCAATAGTAAATGAATTGTATTTTATCTTTCTTAACAATTCTGTGATAGTAAGAGCAGTGTGTGGATCGGCGTATGTCAATGTAACAGACAGTAATCTTAGCAAAGGTGATGGATATACTGATTTTTCCGATATGTAAAGTATATAATTATATAGTACGAGCGATTCGTATGTTATAAAAAGAATCGAATGTCCTTTAATAATGTATTTACGGAAGAATGTCCGTCCTCTCTATCAAAATATAATATTTAATATTATCAACAAGTATAATATTTAATATTATCACACATATTATTGCATATTTAAAGAGATGATTTTAAAATTTGTGCTTTGTATATTTTAAACTTGCCTCTCTTGATACTTGACCATCTACTTCTTCAAGTTTATATCTCGAACTGATTTGTGCAAGTTTACTTTTTAGATATGGAAATATTACAATTAATATCAATGATAGTGTTTGTTGCTTATGTGATAAATTTCCTTTAAGTTTAGAATCGACTACTGCAACGCGCTTCAAACCATAAAATGTTTCAGAAAATGTTGCAGCTGAAAACAATTATGTAATGAAAAAAAATTTTGTTTTTATAAAAGAGATTATATAAATTGAAGCATAATATTACTAACACTTATTAATATTATTAAATTATTAAATTATTAATAATTGTGTTAATGATAATATATTATTATAAAAATACTTACAATATCTCTTTAGATAATATCGTTGAAGAAATGCATTGAAAATTAAATAGGCCTCATCTGCCCACTCAAGAACATGTCCATATCTCTCAGGATTAAAAGAAACGAGAAACTATAAAATAAAAATTTTATAAAAAATTTATACATACTTCAAGTAGAGCATGAATATAATTCACATGAACAAGATTAAACGATATTTTAACAAGGAATATAAATAACATTATGGCTAATCATCAATAAAAAGCTACATGTGGAATATATATTCGCAGAATATATATATGCTCTATTATATTTCTGAATATTTTTTTAAGGAGATATATATTTGCTATGTATAAAAAATAGATAATTCTGTAACAGATGATAGGTTTATTCTTTTTAACTTAGAACTTTTTGCATTTCTTGTTTTTCCTTTCCAACTTTTATATCTATCTCATTCTACTCCATTCTAGTTCAACTAAGAACAAACCTACTGACTAAAAGAAGCAATTGCGTAAACACAATATACCGAAAGGATCTTTTTAAAGGATGGTTCGAGGATAGACGCGAGCGATTCCTGCGCGACAATTTCAAAGATAGAAGGCCTGATGTATGCGGTTCCAGTCAAATGAGCACCCTTTTCTGCCATCTCTCAAGTTTACATGGGCATGCACGCCGAGACCTGTTCTTAGAATCAACTAGTATTAATCTCGCGCCGTCTAAAATATATTATCTATTGACGATTTCACCATATTTTTCGGAATAAATTATTCTTGAGGTTAATGCGATATTTCCATTCAACATATTCGTCATGCTTTCGTAAAGGTTACAAAGTCCACACATCCGTTCTCTTTACAGCAGATATTTAAAATAAATAAGAATAAGTGTAATGGTAATGCCGTGGCTCTCGACAAAAATCTGTCAATGCACGTTCTTTTCGTTGTGTAATAAGAAAAATTGAATACTTGGTATCGTAAAGAGAACAATATATTGTTAAAAACGGCATTTTTAAGGTTAGGAAGCTATCTCGTATCAATGGGTCTGTTTTTTATTCCTGCACTGCTGCACTAGTGCAATAAGTTAGAAAGAGACAAACATACTTTCTTTCACTCTAACTAATTGCACTAGTGCAGCAGTGCAGGAATAAAAAACAAACCTATCGGGTCTGTTCTTTTCAGCTACACTGCTACACTAGTGCAATAAGTTAGAAAGAGACAAACATACTTTTTTTCACTCTAACTAATTGCACTAGTGCAAGAGTGCAGCTGAAAAGAACAGACCCAATGGGTCTGTTCTTTTCAGCTGCACTGCTGCACTAGTGCAATAAGTTAGAAAGAGACAAACATACTTTCTTTCACTCTAAAGGTGCAATTTCATTGACGCTAAAAAGTAGCATCAACCATTGGTTAAACAATGAAACAACTACTTACATCTTTGTTCAACCAATGGTTGACGCTACTTTTTAGCGTCAATGAAAAGGCTGCTTAATTGCACTAGTGCAGCAGTGCAGCTGAAAAGAACAGACCTATTAAGGTACCTTTTCATGTGTCGCTCATCGCTCGTTTTGAGCGATAAAAAAGTCACGTGACTAGATTGTCGCTAGCGACTAACTATTGAGCATGAAAAGAGCTCCAGCACCGATTTAGACCGGTATTCATAGTCCGATCTTATATTTAAGATTGTCTTAAGTCTGGTCCGAGGTTGACTTAAGATCTCATTCAACCAATCAAACAGCTGCGTAGCATTTCAAGCTCGAACTTAAGACGATCTCAAATATAAGATCGGACTATGAATACCGGCCTTAGAAAGAAAAGTTGCATTAAGACACGCATAGGCCGGTATTCATAGTCCGATCTTATATTTGAGATCGTCTTCAGTTCGAGCTTGAAATGCTACGCAGCTATTTGATTGGTTGATTGAGGTCTCAAGTCAACCTCGGACCAGACTTAAGACGATCTTAAATATAAGATCGGACTATGAATACTGGCCATAGTATAAAATAAATATAAACAATGTTACAAGCAAGAAAATATTATAATTAGATGATTGAGTGCACAAAAATTATAAATGAAAATAATATAAAGCAGAACAATATAAAGAAAAGATTAGCAGTAGCGGCAGTTCTTTATTATTTAGAAGAAAAAAAGAAACAACGATACAAAAAAAAAGTTTTTGGGTTAATCCATTGTTTCAAATAAGAGATAAAAGTGGATTTTATAATGCATTTTTTTTTATATAAAATTTATAAATACAAATATTCTATCTAATACAGGATAAAAATATTTACATTATTATTAAATTATACATTATTATTTAACTATAAAATATTATTATTATAAATATTTAATATTTATTACAAAATTATATACTTACTCTTTGATTCATGATTGATCGATTTGAGTCTTAAAATTTCAAAATTATTGCTCGTGAATGTCGTTTGTAATTGGAAAAATCCAACTACAGAATCCCGTCGCTGGCGACTATGTAACGTCATCATGTCGCTAAAATCTAGCGATAGAGCGATGTATGAAATGGCACCTTTAAGCTAACGCCAGACTATGCGTGATTCATAATTCGCGATTCGTAATTCATGGTTCATAGAGATTCGCTGGACATTCAGGGAGATTCGTTATTCGTCAGTGTAAACTTTCCACACTATTCGTGATTCGCTGTATATCATTCGTAATTCGTAATTCGTCGTTTCTTAGAATCCGTTCTTTTTAGCTGCACTACTGCACTAGTGCAATAAGTTGGAAAGAGACAAACATACTTCCTTTCACTCTAACTAATACTACTAGTACACCCTTAGTTCGCGTTATTTCGATCAGTTCTTTTTATAATATTTATCTTTTGGATTTCATAAACATCTATGTCTCTTATGTCTTCTACAAGTTCAAGCACGCGATTATTTGTCCACCTCTCCATTGTCTCCCTCTTCATTATAATTGATGCAAAACCTATCAAAGAAAAACACGAACTAATTACGCGTAGTGTAGCGCAACACGAATGGATTGATTCGTAACGATTTGTCTCCTTTAAATTTCGTCAAAAAACCGCTTGGTTAGCGAATCAGTACAAATGATGAATCGCGCATGACGAATCGACAAATTTTCCCTCCACATTATTTGCGAAATATACGAATTACTCCTTCTTCTTCTTCTTCTTCTTCCGTTATTGGCACTGGGCAACTCAAGCTTCGCCCATGCTGCTAGATTACTTCATTGAGTTCAGAAGTTCAATAAATAAAGAATATAGTTTAGCTAGCCAATTATTGCATAGACAAATTATATGAGCACTTCAGTCTTTCGAAGGAAGGTCAAGATAGGATTAATCATTTCCCTAACAGCACATGTAGATTCTGAGAATGTTTGAAGAATATCGCAAAAGTAAAATGCATATATTCTCAGAACATTCGAGATACATACTATGATATATTAAGTATATACTAAGAATGCTCTAATGTTCGCTTATTTTAGTTAATAGTAAATACTGAGAATATCTTGTAGTATAATTCATATATGTAATATAAATACTTTTGATAAATGCCGCAATGCACACACTATTTCTCATTTTAATTTCAAATAATCTTTTTAATATTCTGAATCCCAACCAGGAATCCAGAACAACTAAACTACTAAACAAATTTTAAATTAAGTCAGTTTATTATAAATTAAACTGACTAAAAAGAAAAAAAAGGAAACTTTGGAATTCATGTTAGTACCAGTCCTTTATGTTCATTTCACCAAAAATTAAGTACGAGTTTGATAGCACGTATAGCGGCAAAATGAGGAAACACATGCAATATTATAGAATATCCTGAAAATATATGAAAAAGAATATACTAATACTGTGACGACGTCTTTGCGTCGCCACTATAATTATATTCATTTATATTGTTTATATCATTTATATCATTTATCTTGTTTATATTGTTGTATTATATTGTTCATTTATTACAATCCAGTATTGATTTCATAAAATAAAGACTTTAAACGTAACGGTTCCCTGCGTGTAAATTCCTGATCCCGCAACTCGACGCCTCTGGTACCCACCGGCGATTCCGCCTATGAGCTCCCCCACCTAGTCTCACTCCCTCCTCGACGCACGCGAGCGTGGGGACTCTCGAGCCGTATATAAGCCGGCTCGCGCGACAGACCGCTACCTATTCCTCTCCAGTTTCCGACCTGTTCTGAGCCTCTGGGAGTAACCGAGGTACTCTGAATCCTGACCGTTCTCGCCGACGGAGACGGGTGTAATCTCTCCGCCGCCTGGGTTTGCCCGGCATTCGGCTTCCTGACCGTTCTCGCCGACGGAGACGGGTGTGACCTCTCCACCGTCCGGGTTTGCCCGGCATTCGGCTTCCTGACCGTTCTCGCCGACGGAGACGGGTGTAATCTCTCCGCCGCCTGGGTTTGCCCGGCATTCGGCTTCCTGACCGTTCTCGCTGACGGAGACGGGTGTGACCTCTCCGCCGCCTGGGTTTGCCCGGCATTCGGCTTCCTGACCGTTCTCGCCGACGGAGACGGGTGTAATCTCTCCGCCGCCTGGGTTTGCCCGGCATTCGGCTTCCTGACCGTTCTCGCCGACGGAGACGGGTGTGACCTCTCCGCGGCTTGGGTTTGCCCGGCATTCGGCTTCCTGACCGTTCTCGACGACGGAGACGGGTGTGACCTCTCCACCGTCCGGGTTTGCCCGGCATTCGATTTCCGCGCACTACCGCACGGTGAAATCCGCGATCGCGACGCGCTCGCCGTCTGAACCCGCGACCGACCGTCTAGGTGTAATCTTTCGTAGGCTAAGTTAGTTGTACTCTCTCGTAGGATAAGCCGTTTGTAGGATAAGCTATCTGTACACTCCCGTAGACTAAGCTAGTTGTAATGTCTCGTAGGATAAGCCGTTTGTAATCTTTCATAGGCTAAGTTCGTTGTGCTCTCGCGTAGGATAAGATTTAGGATAAACGATTTACAAATAAAAGCTTGTTTGAAATAAAAGAGGACTCGCGAACTTGACTCTCCTACCTACTCCCGAATCTTGGGAATCAGCGAGCCAGTCCGTGGCGATCGGTATAGGCCGTACCGTTACATGGCGCCCGAACCGGGACCGTTTAAGGAAAGTCCAGCTAGCGAAAACTCTCATAACCGCGTGGATTAATACCCTTTCTAAAGAGCAGCTCGAATATCTCCATCGGTACGAAGTGGACACCACGGGCCAGGTGAACCTGCTGAGACGCCGACTGCGCCTATACTTCGCCGCACACCCGACCGACAACCGAGGGACAGCAGCGGTGATATATCAGGGGAGACCGCGACCATGCCGACCTTGAATCCGACGGAACGCATCGAGATCATCAACCAGATCCGGAAATGGGGCCTCCGCTTCGAGGAGGTGGATCCACTTTCATTCCTGGAAAAAGTTGAGAAGCTACGAATCAGTTATGGCCTCGAAGAAGACCACCTACTCTTGGGCCTACCGGAACTGCTAAAGGGGGATACCCTCTTATGGTATCGAAACCATCGCGATACCTGGGAAACTTGGGCCAGTTTCTGCGAGCATTTCCGCAACTACTACCTACCGCCGGGATATCTGAGGCGACTAAAGCGAGAGATCAGCGGGCGCTCCCAAAAACCAGAAGAATCGTTCCGCGAATACTCCAATGCGCTCCTCACCATGATGCGCCGAGCTGGATACTCCGAACGGGAACAACTGGAACAAGTCTATGAGAACATGGATCCAGAACACCAGCTCTATGTCCCGCTCACCAATCAGCTCACCATGAGCGAACTGCTGACCCGGATATTCAAGATTGAGGAAATTAACCATCGCCGACGGGATCGAATTCCAACGGCCGCCAAACCAACAATCGCCACCGTTACCTACAACCGGGAGGAATGCTGCTGGAGATGTAAGCAGCAAGGCCACACGCGGATGGGTTGTAAGCGACCACCAAGAAAATTTTGCTCGCGATGCGGCAAGGACGGTGTCCTGACTCGCGACTGCCACCCGCCGGCGGGAAACGCCCAACGGGCCGGGGACATAGCGGCCGCCTCCCAGCCCAGCCTCGAATAGAAT